AATCAATAGTCTTCGTCCTCCTACTGAAATTTTTAACCCCACTTCTTCACACTTCTTGTCCAAGATTTACATCCTTTTCCTCCTCCTCATCCCCCTCCTCGTCCTCTTTCCTATTCTTCGCGGTCATTGATATATCAGTGGTAAAACAGTTAAACAACAAAGGAAATATATCCGGCCAGCCCTTCCTTATCCGTATATCAAAGTTTTTACTCCCTAAAAGTTGCTTTTTTTTTTTTTGCCATCATTTTTCTTCCTATTTTCATCGTCAGCCCTCGTTCACTAAGTCACCACCACTGTTGTGACTGATGGTTATTTTTTACTAAAACCAACTGAAAACAAAAAATTTGAAATTTAGATTAGCATATTGGTTCAATAACGAAAAAAAAAATTCTTTTTTCCGAAAAGAATAAGACAAAAACAAAATAAATTAACGAAAAAAAAAAAGAACAAAGATGAAAAACAATTTCTTCTTTGACTTAACTATTGCTTTTAATAAATCTGATAAAATAAACATTTCTTTTCCCCTCCCCCTTCCCCCCCCCCGTCTTACTTCCATTTATTTATTTATTTTTTTTTCTTTTTTATTACTTTCATTACTGTTAGCTTCATAAAAAATAAATTGAAATTTTGATAAGCGATAAAAAACCACAACTATAGTAGTCGTTTTATGATCCAAAAAGATGAAAACAACAGAAAAAAATTTTGAAAAAAGTTCTTTTTCTCTCAGTTTATGCTTTTGAACCGTTTATTAATATATACCATTCAAAAGAAAATTTGTTCTTTGCAAATGTTTACTCTATGTAACCGCAAAACAACAGTCATTTACACCACTTTTGAACACAAACCAAGGAATTATAGATGGGAAACAGCAGTCAATTTTATACCATTATAACTATTAAGTTGAATCAAAAAAAAAGTGAAATAAAACTAAGTAAAACAAACAGAAAAAATAGTAAGTAACATTTCGATATTACATACATCTGAAACAGAATTAGACTATCCATGTAAAACATAGCAGTTACAGCCCATTTAACGGAAGTAAACAAATCTTCGTACTCAGCTGCTCAAATGATCGACCTGATCACTGTTGTCTACCAAAATCTGTTGTCAAAGCGTCTTCGCACATTGTATTCAGAAGATCATTGCTCACCGACAAATATTGTCTGAAAGAATTTGAGACCATTTATCAGTGGTAAAATAGGCCCGAGAAGTTGAGGACGATTTACCGGTCATATCTTTTGGTCTATAAGCGATGAACAGTAAGTGGTGGCCAAATGTATTTATAAACTCAACAAATGAAACAGATGGCAACTATTTTGGAATTTTAGTGAACGTGAAACCCAAAAAATGAAAATATGCTTGCAAAAGAAAAAGAAGAAAAAAATTTGACAACCAATATTCCTTAATATCGTATCTGATCAATGTTTTTTTTTTCTTACAATAGGCAAATAAAAATAATGAGTGATGATAAGTATTAATTTGGTCATTGCTAAGATGCATACAGATGAAAAAAAACGGAAAAGTATTCATCTAAATAGCAGCTGGGTAAACTTTTTCTTTCAAAAATTATACTATTAATTTGTTGTTTTTCTTGCTCACATAACACTTTTCCTCTCCTTCTTCTAATGTGTATACTGTTTAAGAGAAAAATTTTTACCAGAAATACTTTATGCCTCATCAACTTTACTTTCCAGCAATAAAAAAAAAAAAGAAGTATATTTTCCTTCAACTGTAATAAATCTAATGGTAAACTATCAACGGTTAACACTTTCCTTTTCCATCGTTTATGTTAATATTAACAAGAATATTGGAAAACAACAACTGCTTTACGGTGGGATATTCTTTCGCCTAACGGTAATAGACTTTTTATTATTGCATAATCAAAAAAAGAAAATTATATTGATAAATCGGCAAAAAAGTGATAAATGCACTCAACATAAGACATAATTAGATAAATAAACATAACAACATAAAAATAAATCTAAAAAAAAATAAATAAATAAAGGCTCCGATCCGTTGCGATATTGCAATTTTCATTTAGTTGCCTATCAAATGACAAAGACAATAAGGAAAAACAATCGTTTTCTTTCCTCTGTTGTCTTCTTACGACCTTACAAACTTTTCTTTTCCTTTCCTAAGAACATAAATTTTTTAGTATGTTTACCAAATATTCAATAGTTTTTGTTATGCCAAAAAATGATACTAGGGAATATCGGTTGGCACCTTCCTCCTTACTGCTTTCCAAAACACTTCAGTAGCTTTCATTGACGAAATCCTCGTCGTTATCACCGTCAGCAGTGTAGTTTTCCTCCATAAACGACGACAGCGGCACTATGTACCATACTGATATATCATCGTCGCTGCCGTCATCATCACCAACATCCACAGAAGCAGTAGCAGCAACAAGAATCTGGTTAAGGCTTTGCACATCAATGCGTGCAATAAATTTGAAGAGCAATTAAAAAGTGGAAGTAGTTGCCAGAAAGAAAACAAAAGTAAAGTTAAATAAGTATGTAAAATAAAAAAATAAACCCAACAATTTAAATTGAACATTAATTTTCAGTTTAGAAATTTGAAGTTTTCATACCCTATTGATAAGCACATTTATTATCAACTTGTTGTAAAACAAAAATTTTATATTAGCGTTGTTCCAACAGTCACTGGAAACAGTAAAAGTAACAAATTGCAACCAAAGCATTAGATATGCTTGTTCTTTTCCGTTGTCATATTTGTCTACTCCACCACATTTATCGTTTTTGCTTTAAAAATCAAGTGGTCTCAGAAAATAAATAGGTAAATAAAAAATAAAAACAAAAATGATAACAATATTATACAAAGTCGTTTTTCCATTTTCCTTTCCTTCTTTTCTGATTCTGCTAACAGAGCGTAGTTGCTAATCACCAACGCAATGAGAACTAAAGCTCTTTCATTTTTTACAGATGTCATAATAGATGCAGTAAAAAAGCAGAAATAGTGGAGACGTTAAGTCAAAATTTCATTAATTTTATATTTTTTTTTT